CCTCCAAAGAAATCTTCTAAAGGCTGAGACCTCTCCGTAGCAAAATATTTACACAAATAGGCGAGTTCTCTTTCCCTCCAGGCACCTGCCAGTATTTCATGATGTTAATCTCTTTTGGAAATGCAAGAACATGTTTTGATATAGACTGCGAAGGCATGAGCTATGGGAGTATCTACATCCTCATAAAGCCATGCTGGTGGCCTGAGTGGGAACATCGATTTAAGGTAAGTCAGACGAAGAGATGGTCTCTTTTATGCCACACTCTGTCTTTTTGTCAACTTGACAAAAGCTAGAGTCACCTAGGAAGAGGGACCCTCAACTGAGGAATATCCCCCACCAGACTGGCCTATGGATATGTCTGTGGGGTCTTTTCTTGATTGCTAATTGAGGTAAGATGACCCAGCCCACTGTGAGAAGTGCCATCCCTAGGCAGGTGGGGCGTGGGCTGTATAAGAAAGGTAGCTGAGCAAGCTAGGGGAAACAAGACATCAAGCAGCATTCCTCCATGGTCTCTGCTTTGGTTCCTGCCTTGGCTTCCCTGGATGATGCACTGTAACCTGTAAGCCAAATACCAACCTCCCTACCCGCTGCAAGTTGCTTTCAGTCATGGTGTTTATCGAAGCAAACTAGAACATTCACCAGCAACCTAAATCTTTAGAAGCTGTTGCTCATCTTTCCTACTCCATCTGTGGGTTGGCGTGTGGGGTGCAATAATACACAGGTAACATGCTGCCCTGGCAACAGCAACTCTAAACCAGTCGTCATCACAACCAAAGATGCTCAGATACATTGCCTGTATTACACACAGAGCTCTGGTCATTTGGTTTAGCATTCCTTTTGCTGTGGTTGGGTATGTGATGGCTAATCTTGATTGTCAACCTTCTTGGATCTGGAATCAACTAAGAGACTCTCCTCTGAGTGGATTTGTGATGATATTTCCAGGACAGATTAACTGAGTGGGGAGTATCCTCCCTCAGAGTGACAGGCTCCCAAGGGAAAATCAGGGCTTTGCCTGCCTGCCTTTAGTCTTTGCTGGGGAATGAATCTGCTTTGCGCTGTTGTTGCTGCTGCTGCTGCTGCCACCATTAGAATCCAGCTTCTTTATCCTTCAAATATAGACTAAGACCAGCAATCCTCCAGGACTCCTCCAGGCCATTACTGCTAGACTGGGACTGCTGGGGCATCTTGTCTCATGGACTGAGCCCATACCAGGTTACCAGCCTCTCCAGCTTGCAAATGGCCAGTGTTGGACTACCCAGCTATATCACATAAGCCAATCTAATAAAGCCCTTTCTAATAGATATTCATTATATTGCTCTGTTCTTCTAGAGAACCCTGGATAATACAGGATACTCAAGGTATTTAAGTGTCTTCCACTTCTTTTTGTTGTTTTTTGAGACAGGGTCTCCCTGTAGCCCCAGCTGGCCTGGAACTTGCTATGTAGACCACCTGTTTGTACTTCCTGAGCGCTGAGATTAAAGGCATGTGCCACCAGCCTGGCTTAAGTGTCACTTACTTCTTATCTAGGCTTTTGTGATTTTCAGGGTCCTCCCCCAGGAGACTCCACATGGAAATACAGGCTTCCAATGGAGAAGATGGCTCAGTGGATAAGAGTGCTTGCTGCGTGAGCATGAGGACCTGAGTTTGAATCTCTAGCACTCACATAAAAAGTCAAGTCTGACTGTATGTGTGTGTCTACAACCTCAGCACTGTGGAGGACAGACAGGAGCCATGCTGGGGTTGCTGGCCACCAGCCTAGCTCCAGGTTTATTTAGTAAGAGACTCTGTGTGAAGAGAAAAAGGCAGAGAGTGATAGAGCAGGACACACAATACCCTCCTCTGGCCCTTGCGTGTGCATGATTATGTGCACTTGCACACATGTGGACATATACCACACACATATATGCACACACATGCACACACAGAAATGAATAAACACTACCACCCACACCCAAATAAAAGAAACCCTCACACGTATATCAGGGATATTCTATAACCCAAATTGCTTTTCTAGGTTTTTCTCCCTGTCTGTCAGCATGAATTCCTGATTCCAGCAGAGTGCTGGAAAACAGGGGGATGCAATATGCTATCGATGTGTGCATAGCAAAGGCCAGCACTGCCTAACCCCATGCCATGTAGGGAGGGGCCTGTAAGCCAGCCCCAGGACCAAAGTCCCTCCAGCCAGAAGTGATAGGTTAGCAAATACTGACATTTACTGAGCACCGTCCATGGCAGGCATTGCTCTGAGTACGTGAGGGAGGCATAAATGGGGGAAACTGAGGCCTAGGAACACAAGAAGCTTGCATAAATTTACTTAGCTAGTAGACTGAAGGCTGAGGTCTAAGCCTGGGCAGTGAGGGTCTGAAACATCACCCATCCTGCCTTCTGGCTCACTGCAATGCAGAGCCTAAGACAACGCAAGCAGTTGCATCAAGCTGCGCAAACTGCAGATTACAGCTGCCTTCTTTGTTGCTTAAATGAACCTGCTTAAATTAGTCACCTTGAGAACACGTGCAAGACTTTCTTTTTTAGACAGTCTCATGGAACCCAGGTGGGTCTTGGACTCACAATGTAGCTGAGGATGACCTTTAACTTTCTGATCCTCCTGCCTCTACCTCCTGAATACTGGGGTTACAGGTGTGCACCACCACGCTTAGACGATGCAGTGTTGAGGATGGAGCCCAGAGTTTTGTGTATGTTAGGCAAGCACTCTACTAACTGAGCCATATCCCCATCCCCATACAGTGTCGTTGGGGCATAATGCCTATAGTTAAGACTGGCTGGGACAGAGGTGGCCTGTTCACCTTTCCCACGTATGGCTCTCCAGTCTGCACAGGCCACAGTCCCAACATGAGTGTGTGCAGGATCCTGTCTTCACACCCTCACATCTGCCAGATGTCATGAGATCTCAACCCCAGGTCTGAATAATGTGCCATTTCACACTATTGATGCCAAGTTTCATTTTATAGTGCTTCTGTCATTCACGAAACAAACGCTTAAAGACATTTTGAAAAGTAAATGCCAAGATTTAGAGATGAGCTGACAGTTCCATCTAGACAGCAAGACTCTCACAGGGCGCCCCCCTGTGAATGCAGAGAGGAAGGGGGAGATGCACAGACTCACAGGGAAAGAGCATGCCACTGGTGGAACATCTTCATGGCAGAGCTCTTGCAGGAATTCTGTCCCCACAGTGAGACATGGAGTGAGACCTGGCAGGTCCTTTCTGAGGTGATAGATGCCTGTTTATCATGGACCATGACTGGGCAAATTCAATCATGAGCTAAGGGGTTAATGAAGCATCTGGAAGGTGGGTCCGTTATAAAGCCATCTTTTAAAAATTTATTTCTTACGTTCTGTGTATGTGGGTGTACATGTTTGTGTGTGTACACGTGTTAGTGCATACACATGGGAGGCCAGAGGTCAACCTTGGATGATATTTACATTGTGTTCTGAGACAGAGTCTCCCTGACCAGGGATTCAGTGGTCTAGGCTATCTGGCCAGAGAGCCCCAGGGATCTGCCTGTCTCTGCTCCTCAGCACAGCACTGGGATTACAAGCCTGTGCCATCACACCTGGCTTTTTTTTTTTTTTAACATGGGTTCTGGGAGATCAAACCAAGATCCTCATGCTTGTGCAACAAACACTTTGCCTACTGAGCCATCTCCCCAGAACTCAATCCTTTGTTTACAAAGTGAAATACTTTAGAGCAGGGCATCGCCTTGGGAGGCAGAGGCAGGCAGATCTCTGAAAGATTGGGGACAGCCCAGGCAATACAGTGAGTTCCAGGATAGCTGGGGTTGCAGGGAGACCCTATCTAAAAAACACAAAACCCAAAAAACCCAAAGTGAAATACTTTCTTCAAACCAAGTCTTAGACTAGCAAGACCTAAGCAGGCAACAGTGGCTCTTTTTAAATTTCAGATGTGTGATTTCATTGGAAATCATCTACCAGAGATGCTGACCAACTCAGGGTCTCCTGTGCATGGGGACCAGGTGGATGTCACCAGTGACCCAGGTCTGCAACCAGACTCTGTGCCATATTTTGGGACCCTTGAATTGATATGCCCAGTTTTACTTGGGCTACACTTTCTGGCATATAGCAGGGCACTCACCCAGGTCCAAACCTGACCTAGCCCTGGCCTGTCTGTCTACACTCTTTCAGGCAAAAGCTTCCGTTCCAAGCCACTAGGTGCCTCCTTTCCTTCTTCCAGGGCTGGGGAGGTCACTTCCCCTCCAGATCCAGCTCCAAAGCAGCATTGTGTCCACCCTGACCCCTATCCAGAAGGAGCGGCTTACAGAACATTTAGTGACTCTTGGTCCTGTCACTTATGTGGTAATGTCACTTGAGTCTCCCCAAAGGCTCTATGAGTGTCCTAAGAAGATCAGGTCTTACTCAGCCCTGCCTTCTACCAGGCAGACAGTACCTAACACAGGTCTTTAATTTGAGTTAGTAAAAGGACAGATAAAGTACTGGATGATGCTTTCAAATATAAATTGTTGCCTTTGGGAAACTGGGAAGCATGAAGGCTTTGCATCAATGTGCTCAGAGCTGCTTCTCTGAGTACAAAGTTAAACGTGAACAAATTCCTTGGCACACCTGAGGTTCACACTTTACCCAGTAGCTTCTCCCATGGGTCAGTCAGGACCTTGTAGCAGAAGACGCCCACAGGAGCCAGGTCAGCATCATCTATGAAAAACTAGCCCGCCACTTCCCAAACACCCATCAACAAAGCCCAGAGCAGAAGGATGTCGATTACAAATGGCCTTGCCATGGACCAAAAATAAATAAAGGAGATTCTGGGTTAATAAAATGCAAATTTCATTCTATAAGAAAGCCTAGGTTCCCGGTTCAGGAAACAATAGAGAGTCCAGGGATGCTCTGGGCCCAGGAGATGCTGGCTGCTGTCAGCATGATTTGTTTCCGCCCTCCTCATTGTCTAATGAAAACAGGAGAGTGAGTCTCCTTGCTGCATCTCCCCTTCCCTCCCGGCGGCTCCTTACCCAGAATCACACCGTTGGGTTCCTCTGGGGGCTGCCACACAATCCGCACTGCAGTGAGCCTCACTTCGGGGAACACCAGCCGCACTGGGGGGCCTGGAGCTGAAGGAAAACACAGCACAGGGTTGTGGGGTCAGCCTCATGCCTTGATGACCACTATGAAGCTTCCTGTACATGGGATACGCCCCTGATTTTACTTTTATCTTTAATTAATTAATATTATTTATCATTTATTTGTGTATGTACATGTTTGTATGCATGTGTACATAGAGGCCACAGGTCAATGGTGGGTATCTCCCCAAATCTCTTTCCATCTTATTCTTTGAGATATGATTTCTCATAGAACCTGGAGCTCGTGGGTTCCGTTTGGCTGGCCAATGAGCTCCAGGGATTTGCTTGCCTTTGTCTCTCCCAGCTCTGGGGCTACAGGCACGCCATCCCTGGCTTTTTAGGTGAATTCTTGGGATTCGAACTCAGGTCCTTGTGTTTGTGTGGCCAGCACTTTTACTAACTGAGCTATGTCTCCAGCCTGTGCTTTTAGTGAAGGACTTGAAGTCCAGAGAATCCTCACCTGCTCTGTGCAACTCCCTTATGATTTTGGGAAAAGTATGTCATTTTGAATCCTTCCCATGTGTTTTAGAGATTCATGCTTAGAAACTACGCTTGCATGGCGTGTGGGTAACACATGGAAAAGCTAACCGGGGGTGACCAATGACTTCGAAGTTAAGTATTTCAGTAATCTGAGTTCAGATTTCTTCACTAGGTTTGACATCTGTACAGAAGGAGTTTGGCAAGTGTGATGGCTAATTCTGACTGCCAGCTTGACAGGATTTAGAATCACCATGGAAACACACAGGCATGTCTTCGAGGGATTTTCTAGATTAAGTTAACTAATGTGGGAAGACCCCACCTTGAATGTGGTGCACCATCCCATGGGCTGGGGTCCTGGACTGAATAAAAAGGAGAAAGTGAGCTGAGCACCAGCATCCATCTCTCTGCTTCTTGACTGTGGATGCCATGTGAGCAGCTGCCTCATGCTCCTGCCACCATGCCTTCACAGCATGATGGACTGTCTCTCCTAGAACTATGAGCCAAAATAAACCCTTCCTCCCTTAAGTTGCTTCTTGTCAGATATTTGGTCACAGCCATAACAAAAGTTAACTATTACAAGTTGGCCCTAAGTTTAACTATTGATGCATGTTGAACAGTGATACTTGCTGGCATAGGCCTGCCTCACCTCACCTGCCTTATCTTAGAAAATTAAAAGCTGATGCTCACAGACGCGTATAATGATTCTTCTGTGTGGTTCAGTGCACCAATAATTCAAAAAGCAGTTATGTCTTGTGGAATGATTGAATAATAGGGTCACAGCCCTTGTAAAATATATTTGCTTAAATGGATAGGCAACTTTGTGTGCGGCCAGCATGAGAACTTCTCTATGGACTTAATCACAGATCAATTCCCAGGCAAGAGGTAATAAGCATAGAGTAATGGATACAGAAATGGAGTGATGTGGGTAGCAGCCATTCTGGGCTGGTGAAGTTGGACATGTGTAATGATATCTATGTGTGAGTGAAATAAACATCCAAAGAGGCCACAGGCTCGCAACCAGGACTAATTTACAATACCAGAGTTACATAGCAATGACCTTCTGAGTTAACCTGGAGCCTGGGAAGACATATTTATATAAAGAATGTGACTGTGGGAAAAGTTAAAAAAAAATACCAGCTGATTAGTCAGTGTGTCCTTTGGAAAGAATAACAGTGGTGTGCCTAGTTTTGGGGGACAATTTCTAAAATGTCTCTAGTTTCTTTTCACGTGACTCAACTGGAACATGTACACAGGAATCACTGGTGCAGCTTGCAAGGTTAACAGTGTCCACCTTTCATTCCCCTTGTTATTTTTCACCCGCCTAGAGACCTTACACTGGGGAAAGATGAAGGAATGGTCCCAGGCAGGCTCTGATGGTTAATACTGTCAAGTTCACAGGATCTAGAATTACTGGGGAGACAAACTTCAGGGTATATCTGGGAAAGAGTTTCAAGACCGGGTTAACAGAGGAGGGAAGACCCACCCTGAACGTGGGCAGCACCATCCCCTGGGCTGGGGTCCTGACTGAATAAAAAGGAGAAAGTGAGCTGAGCACCAGCATCCATCTCTCTGCTTCCTGACTGTGGATGCCGTGTGACCAGCTGCCTCACCCTCCTGCCACCAGCCTTCCCTCCATGAGGGACTGCACCTCAGACTGTGAGTCAAAATCAACCCTTCCTCCCTTAAGTCATTTCTTGTCGGGTATTTTATCCTGGCAATGATAAAAGTATAATACAGAGGCCAAGCCCAGGGCCACATGTGCTGTGAAGAGGGGAGACATGGCTCTTTCCATGCACATTGGGCCCCATTATTCATCCTCAAGAAGACGCCTATAAAACCCTACTGTTTTTTCACTCCTGTCAGACACTTCTGATCCTCAGATGGGTGTTTTGCGCAGATCAGAATTCCCCCCGACATATTCATTACAGCCTATTTAATAATGAACATGTGAGGGAGCTAACCTTTAAGCGCCTGCCATCTGCAAAGTGGAAAAACATATTTACCAATGATTTAGACTTCCATAATAACAAAGCTGGCAAGATGTGCTTGTTACTCGTCTGGAAACACAGGAGCCCGGGGAGCCTGGGTGCCATCAAACATGCTGCTCTGTACTAGGGAACTTGAAATTAGTTCTCATAATGCAAATGGCGAGACCCACCAGTCCTGAGAACGGAGCACGCAGGCCCAGAGTGGAGCTTCAACTAGATTTGCATGGATACCACCAAGAGGATGGGATTAGGTTTTATAGCCCAGCCAACGACTCACCAGTCCTCCCCAACAGCACAGTTATGATTGAGATTCTGCATAGATCATAATCAGGCTGTAAAACCCCAGTCCAAGCTGAAATTGAACAGGCAAATTCTCAGTGACTAGAAAACAATTTTGTTTCCTTCAACTGGAGAGGGAAAAAAGGGGGTTGAAAAAATATACTAAAAGAGGACCATAATTCAAATTGTTTGGGTTGGAAAACTAAGCCTGGGAGATACTATGGCCAGCTGTATACTTACTGTCATCTTTGGTGCGCTCCAGGATGAGGGGCGAGCTGGGGACCCCATTCCCAATGCGTGTGAAGGCCAGCACCTGGAGTTCATACAACACGAACTTTCGCAGGCCGGCCAGCAGGGCCGACTGTGTGTGGTTCCCTCGGACGACGTGGCTTCTGGGTTCAGGGTCCAGGTCTTTGGCCCGGTATAGAATCTGAAGCCACAACACACAAATGCAGATGGTTGTGATAAGGTATGTTTGGAAGGAGACTCACTCCCTGGGTACAGTTCAAAACTGACAGGCCAACCAACACACCAATTGGTTTTCTCACTAAGGGCAGATGAGTAGAAGGATTTTTGGATCTGGTTTCTAGCCCCTGGCATTAGGAGGGAGATGGCAGTGAAGCAACTGTACTCCAGAAGTGTAGCTGGAGTGACAGCTCAGCCCACGGCTTGGGAGTTGGCTGCCTGTGCATAGTTTGGCAAGATTGAAAGGGCTTAACTACAGCCATGGAAACATCTCCCATTGAAACAAAGACTCAGGCATGATCAGAGGCCTTCTGCTCCCTACAAATGGAGACCATGGTTCCAGGGAGACTCTTGGTGCCACAGAATCAGGCTTTCTACACCAGAAGACCATGTGAACCACACTTGCTCCTAGGTCACAGGATGGCCAGCAATGTGTTTCTCTGGGGTCTCCTCCTCCCACCTCTCTTCTAAGGACTCTCTTCTAAGCCCTCCTTCCAAGCTCGTCCTCTTTGAGCCGGTCATCAGGGTCAGCCATCCACCATAAAAGGGAGGGTCACCAGGGAAGAGTTTGAAAATTGCACAACAAGCATTTCTCTATGCGACCTGGGAGTGTGGCCTGGGGTGCTGGTCACTAAACCCACTCAAAAGGGCTGCCATGTAGCAGGAAGCTACCAAGTGTCACAACACCACCTGTACTATGGACTGCCATGTTCGTAGGGATCGCTGCATATCATGGATCCAGATGGAAGCCCTTAGAATGCTCATGGGGGAGGGAATACATGACATGAGAACAGGCTGGGGAAAAGCGATAGTGATGCAGAAAGACAGAAAGACAGCTGTACAGAAAGACAGCTGGGCATGTTGGGATAAGCCTGCAATGCCAGCACTGCAGGAAGCCTCCCTTGAGTTGAGTTCAAGTTCAGCTGGTGCTACATAGTGATTCCTGGGTCAGCCCAAGCTATAGTGTAAGAGTCCATTTCAAAACAAACCCAAAAGCAAAAAGAAAAAAGAACAAAAAAAGTTACTGAAAGACTAGAGGAAAAAATGCCAAAAGCCCATTGAACACATACGCAAAGGTGTGTGTGTACTAGAGACGGAACCCAGGGCCTCACAAATACTAGAGATGTACTTGGCCACTGAGCCACACCCCCAGGCCCTCACTGGGGGAGTCTAGGCAGGTGCTTCACCTCTCTAGTCCAGTGGATTAGCACGTGAGAGCAACGGGGCTTTGGGGGCTTAATCCAGAGAAGCCTACTCTGTTGCTTGGGAGACTGGAGCTGAGGGCCAGAGCTAGGAAATTGTGCTGGTCACCCTCAAGTGACGAGCAAGAAACAGGAGGGGTTTTTGTTTGCTTGTTTTTTTTTGAGATAGGGTTTCCCTGTAGCCCCATTTGTTGTGGCATTCACTATGTAGACCAGGCTAGGCTTGTTCTCACAGAGATCTGTCTGCTTCTTCATCCCCAGTGCTCGGACTAAAGGTGTGCACCACCATGTGTGGCTTAAGTTCTTTTTATTCATTTTTATTTTCTGTGTGGGTATTTTGCCTGCATGTATGTAAATATACCACGTGTGTGCAATGCCCATGAAGGTCAAAAGAGGGTGTTGGATCCCCTGGAACTGGACAAATGGATGGTTGTTAGCTGCTATGTGGGTATTGGTAACTGAACTGGGTCCTCTGGAAGAGCAGCCAGTGCTTATAACACTGAGCCGTCTCTCTAGTCCAAGAGTCCAGGTAGCAGCAGAGAAGAGGGAACCCAGGGAAGCTAGGACAGTCCAACTCTAATGGAGGACGCCCTTGCCTAGGCCACCCACATCAGCACCACTGGCCACACCCCTTTCCTCTCATGGAAACCCTGGGGAAGAGGCTGCTGTGGGGTTGTTCCTGTTTGACAAGTAGGAAACAAAGGCTGAATCCAGTCATGGGCCAAGGACTCAAGGTGTCGCAGCCAGAGTGGGCAGAGCCAACTAAGCTTGGTGGCTGGGGCCCCACTTCTGTTTGCTTCCTGACTGGTGCCCAAGCATTTCTTCTAGTGTGTCATTCCCAGACACTATTGAGCTTAGATAAGACAGCTGAAATGAAAGACAGGAACTGGCCCAAGAGACAGATCTGTGACACCTCCCTGTCCAGCCCTGCAGACAGAGTCAGACCATTTGAAACATACCTTGTAGCCCAGGATGAGCCCATTTTGGTCCTGCTCAGGGACAGAAGCCCACGTCAATAGGATCTGGGTTGAACTGACAGCCTCTGCGGACACGTTTTCAGGGGCAGCCGAGGGAACTGCAAAAGAAGGAATCACATGGATTGGCATCCGAGGCCTATAGCCTTCTACTCATAAACATTTTCACCCCGACAGTCAGGCTGCCCTTGAAACAGCAATGTAGTCTGAGCATATCATGTGGATCAGATTAAACCTGTGGGTGTAGACCAGATATGTAAATCTTTTTAATATGAGCAACAAATTCCATAAATCCTGGGTTTTTAGAGCTCAATTTTACCTGAGCCTGGCCAGCAAGAAAATACACTCCGTCTGTTTCCTGCAATAACTTAAAGATCTAAAGGCTTTTTATCTCCAATAGAAAAACCCTCAATTTTAGACAGATACCAGCTCAGTGATGCTACTAGGCGACACATTCTGTGTGGGCTGAACAGAGGAGGTGGACAGAGGGGTGATGGACAAGGAGGGTGATATTCGCTGTACACAGGGAGAAGGGGGAGGGGAGACCTGCATTCCTAATTGAGTTTAATTCACAGGCAGGCATCACTTTTTTCTGTAGACGGGAGGGCACTGGACGCTTCAGTTGTCAACTTGACTCACCTGGGTGGAGGGAGCCTCAATTGGGGAATTTCCTCCACTGGACTGGCCTGTGGCCATGTCTGTGGGGAATTTTCTTGATTGTTGAGTGATGTGGGAGGGCCCAGCCCACTGTGGGTGATACCACCCCAGGTAGGTAGTCCTGTATTATATAAGAAAGAAGGCTGAGCACAAGCCAGGGGACCAAGTCAGTAAGCAGCGTTCCTCCATGGCCTGTGCTTCAGCTCCTGCCTCCAGGTTCCTGGCCTGAGTTCCTACCTTGGGCTCCACAGTGATGACCTGTGACCTGGGTCATGTAAGTCAAATAAGCCCTTTCCTCCCCAAGTTGGTCCAAGTAATTAAAGGCAAACTAGAACAGGCAGAAAACTAAGATTTGTTTGTTTTGCTTTTTCAGTGCTGGGGATAGAAACTGGGGCCTTGCACATGCTAAGCCAGTGCTCTATCACTGAGCTGCAGTCCTGGACCAGGAAAACTGGTGTTGAGAAAAGTTACATTCCATTCTGTTTAGTGTGTGTGTGTGTGTGTGTGTGTGTGTGTGTGTGTAGAGGTCAGAGGTCAACTTTGGGTGTTGTTCCTCAGTCACTATGCACCTTGGTTTTTAAAACAAGGTCTGTTGGTGGTCTGGGGCGGCTCCAATAGGATATGATACACTGGCCCATGAGCCCCAGGGACCCTCCTGTCTCTACCTCCCCAGCACTGGGATTACTAGTATACACTACCACATCTGGCTTTTAACCTGGGTTCTGGGGTTCACACTCAGGTCTTAATGATTACACAGCAAGCACTTTATCAACTAGATCATCTCCCTAGTCTCACTGCTTATCTGGTTTTGAAGCAGAGTCTTGCTACAGATGCAAACTGGCCAGCAAATTGCTATGTAGCCTAGCCTGGCCTCAAACTTGCAATCTTCCCATTCCACCCTCCATTATATTCATTTCTTTATTTTAAAGATTTATTTATTTTTATATTGTGTGTTTTGCATATGTGTATGTAAGTGCACCATGTGTGTGCAGTGCCCATGGAGACCAGAAGATGGCATCAGAGCCCCTGGAACTGGAGTTACAGATGGTTGTGAACCACCCTGTGGGTGCTGGGAACTGAACCTGGGTCCTCTGCAAGAGCAGTCCGTGCTCTTACTTGCTGAGCCATCTCTCCAGATCCTCCATTTAATGACTTAAAATATATTTATTATTTTATTTTATGTATATGAGTGTACTGCCTGAATGTATGTAAGTGTACCTGTGTCATGCAGTACCCGGGGAGGTCAGAGAGAGCACTGAATTCCCCGGAACTGGAGTTACAGTTTTTATCTGCCATGAGGGTGCTGGGAACTGAACTCCAGTCTTCTGCAAGAACAGCCAGTGCTCTTACCGCTGAGCCATTTCTCCAGCCCTTAAATGACAGTTTTATTACAATAAGATTGCTTAGGAGACCAGCTCTGTAGTTCTTCACTCTTGTATATGTAACATAATTTCTCTACATTTAGGCAATCTTGCCTTGGTTAGTTCTTTTGTTACACAACTGTCTTGGCATTTGTGTCAGGTCTCAAATATAGCCTGTATAAAGACAACAGTGAAACCTTACAAATGAGGATTTATATTCTATTAGGTGTGTTTAACCTGGGTGTCTCAGGATTGCTATGAATGTGGCCCAGCACATTTATGGATGGAAATCATCACAATTTCAAAATGCTGGACACTCCGTTAGATAATCTCAATTGCTTCATTAGTTTTCTTTGGCCCTGATTACATGTCAAAGGCTGTTCACACAAGAAAGGATGGGTCTGGCCAAGTCCCCAGGAAATCTGAAGATGCAGCTTTGAGGACACTACAGGCATGCAGGGACAATGACACAGGGAGATCATAGAGATGGTGGCAAGAGCTTGACCCAAGGAGACAACGGAGGGTGGGGAGGATGCCAGACAGACCCTCCCAGAGAGCACAGGACTAGGATACCTGTGTCCGAGCTTTGGCCTCCGGAAATGTGAGAGAATGCATTCTTTATCGGAGCCACCATTTGAGATGTTCTGCCCCAACACTAACAGCTTTTTTTTCTTTCTTTCTTTCATGTGTATGTGTGTGTGTACATGTGTACTTGTGTATATGGGCACATGATTTTGCATATGCATATATTTGTGTGCTTGTGTAAGATAGAGGTCAACCTTGGGGATCATTCCACAGTCACTCCCCACCTTTGTTTTTGAGCCAGGGTCTCTCACTTTTATCTGGAGCTAGGCTAGCCAGTGAGCCCCAGTGCTCTTCCTGTTTCCACCTCCCCAGCACTGGGATTACAGTGGGATACCACCATGTCTGCCTTGTTTACATGGATTCTGGGGTTTGAACTCAGGTCATGTTTGCACAGCAAGTACTTTACCAATTGAACTATGTCCCCCAGCCCCCAAGAAGGATTTCTAGAAAAATTACAAATACTCAAAAGTCCTAGATATTTGGCCAGTTTGACTGGGCCACTTCCATAGCCAAGAGTGTCTACAGACAGAAGACAGGAGAAGAGAGGAAGAAAGGTCCGTTCAAATCACAGCCTAACAGGACAAGCTGCTGGGGAGATACTAGGTGTGGGGAGGAGGTGGTACCCACTTCTGCCCCCCACCCCCAGCCATCTCCATCCACAGGGATATTTTTGAAGGGGAAATTGTGGTGGGAGTCCCTGGCTGCCCACTCTGAGAAAGGCCAGCTGCCTGTCTCACCCCTTTCCTGTGAGCTATGTGAAGCACCAGATTGGTATCCAGGGTAGGTGAGTGAGCATGCCCGTAAGTAGGAAAGCTGTATGTCTATACCTGCTAGGATAGAACTCAAGGGTCCTTCAGATGTTTGGAAGGGTGATAACTGACAGCCTGACTAGGAGATTAACTTTCTTCCCAGACATGTCAGTCAAACCTCATTCCTTTAGTTATTCAGCCATCCAATGAAATAATGTGATGCATATGAGTCCACGCATGCCACAGGCAAGGACCATTGTTGTATGGCTTTTTCCCTCTGGTATAACATAATCATTTTATCCCTATACTGGAATAGAGATCACTTGGCCTGTAGCCATGTCAATGAATTGAGCAGAACAATATAAAATATTGCAGTATATTAATTACTTTTTTGTTGCTGTGATAAAATACCCTGATAAAAGCAACTTAAGGATGGAAAGGTTTATTTCAGGTTACAGTTTAAAGGTGCAGCCCATCACGGTGGGAAGGCATGGCAGCTGGAGTGTGAGACAGCTGGTCACATGGCATCCAGTCAGGAAGATGCATGCTGGTGCTCAGCTCACTTTCTCCTTTTGATTCAGTCCAGGACCCCAGCCCGTGGCATGGTGCTGACCACATTCAGGGGCAGGTTCCCGCCTCAGTTAATCTAATCTAGATAATCTCACATAGGCAAGCTCAGAGGCAAAGTTAATCTAGATGACCCCTCACAGGTGTGCCTGGAGGCTTATCTCCTAGGTGACTCTAGGTCCTGTCAAGTTGGTAATCATTATTAACCATCACATATAGCCAAGTCTATGTAATGATAATGGAGCACTTGACACTCCCTCAGTAGATGGAGGAGGGGAGGGTCACAGCATCTTCGGTAGGATTCTAGTCATCCTCCCTCCTGCCCTAAGCTGCAAGGGATCTTGGGAGATGCTGGGGTATACAAGAAGTGGAAGGTTGACTGAAAGGGGGGCTCCATATTGCAGCCCCATGAGGTTGTCATTCATGACTGGGTGGGACTTTGTGATGATGCAGCTGTTCGGGGGTCACCCAGGTTCCTATAAGTCACTCCTCAACTATGCTTTGTGAGTAACTCCATTGGTTCCCCAACATGGTCTTTGGTAGACTGGTTACTTTGGTCTGTGGTTGGTGCTTTATCTTGGGTGAGTAAATGTTTGTCCACATCTCCCCAGGAAAAGGTAATGCAACAACCATTTATAAATTTACTCAGTTCTCAGAAGGGAAGGACTGGCCTTGTGCAGGACACATTTCAGCCAAGGCTCACTCTGTGCTCCCTCAACCTACATGGGGCTCCCCCTGGGGGTTCTTGGATGCCACATGGCTTTGATAGAGAAATGGCTTATACAGATGCTTATTTTATTTTCTAAAAAGTGATGTCGGGGCTGGAGAGTTAGGTCAGCGGTTAAGAGCACTGGCTGCTCTTGCAGAGGACCTGGGTTTCATTCTCAGCATGCACATGGCAGCTAACAACAGTCTGTAACTCCAGTTCCAGGGGATCCGATGCCCTCTTCTGACTTTCATGGGCATCACATGACAAGGGTATACTTACATACATGCAGGCAATACCCTCATGCACATAAAATAAAACTGATAAAATCTTTTTAAAAAAGCAATAAACCACAGGGCTGGAGAGATGGCTCAGCATTTAAGAACACTGGTTGCTCTTGTAGAGGATCCGGTTTGGTTCCCAGCACACACATGGTGGCTCACAACTGCCTGTAACTCCAGTTCCAGGGGATCTGA